TGTGATGTTTTTATCAGCTTTTTGGACTCTCATTCTGACGGCACCCATTCACTGCAGAGCATCCATTGCTGAGACACTGATGCAATGCTACATTTCTCCAAATCTGATGAACAAACAAACTCATCCTAATCTGGGATGACCTGAGGATGAGCACATTTTCAGCGGTTTCATTTCATGCATGAACTATTACTTTAATAATAACACAAGTGAGATCTTTCCATGTAGCCCTGAAACCCTTATGAGGTACTTGGGAATTACTGCCATAAACTGCCATGATTTCATCTCTATTCTAGCCTGTACTTCTCAGAACAATGCTGGAATTTCATAATTGCATGGCTCTTTGTGAGATGCGAGCAGCTCACCCTCTCCACAGCGGGCGCAAACTGTTTGGGGATGTTAGTCCCGACGGTCTCGTCGCTGAACTCCAGCTTTGTGTAATTCTCAAAGTCCAGTGGCTCCAGGACACCAGTGACTTTACCGTACTGACCCGAGCCTCCAGACTGCTTCTTATGAGTGAACTCAAACCCGCAGCATAAAGCACCACCCATCTGCATTAGTGCTGGACTATACACATCACATATTCACTATGTATTTAACATTCTTTGGTTGGTGATATAAAATATTATATATACAGTATCTCACAGAAGTGAGTACACCCCTCACATTTTTGTAAATATTTTATTATATCTTTTCTAGTCATGTTTTTTATGTTGTTTGTATTGGAAGTTTTTCGTTTTTTGAGCCCCTCTCTCTTTTACAATTGCTGACATTTTTACTTATTGAATGTTGTTGTTTGCGCGACCATTTCCAGATTACTCCAGAACAAAGTGAATAGAGTCGAATACAGACATACTGGGCAGCAATCACCTGATATATACGCGCGCATATCGGGTGTACTCACTTCTGTGAGATACTGTATATATATGTGTGTGTGTGGTGATAATACCGCATACCGCGCTATTGAGCCACTCAAAATTACTGCAAGGGAAATTCCCTCACCGCAACAGCCCTACTTGTATAGGCTATCCTAATTTTTAAAGTAAATAAATGCTGGTGTAATGTTAAAAACAGGTCGAATATTTTTATCAATTAAGAAATTATGTTGATTTATTAAAAACATTACTTTGTTTAATTCTATACATTTAAATCTATCTTTACGTCGGTCTCTCCTCCGCTGTTAGGGCCGGGTTGTAGGTGCGGCTCATTCCGAGTATTGACACGGTCGAGTGAGGATGTATCTGACGGAAACAACGTAAGATTTGTGGGTCTTTTTCTTTTCTCTAAGCTTGTGACAAAACTCAAACTAGTTTTTAAATTGTAGCTAATGGTAGAGTACAACATAGATTTTGACTACTGGCGCTTAATGGTCTGATATTTTTTGTTTTAAAATACGGTAAGATAGTCAGCACTTTTTATTTTCTCTAACTTGTAACAAATGTTAGCTTTTTAAAATTGTAACATAGAAAAACTGCCGTATTGTTTAACGAACGTATCTGATACTTTTTTTTGTTTAGATAGATGGTCAGTAGTCTACTTTTCTTTTCTTTTCTTTTCTAACTAACTAGTTTTTAAATTGTTTAACACTTAAATGCTCGTCTTGACCCGTTTTTTTTACTCTTTTCTGGAAAAACAGTCATTACATTGTTTCTATTCAGTGTATGTTTGATGTTTTTCTTGAAATGTGTGTGAAAAAAAAAAACTTTAATAAAAACTTCCCTTTATCCCGTTTAATAACCATACGACGTTTCACATTTCAAAGTTTAAAGCACATAGTTTTGACGGCACCCACACGCAAAAACACATTCCCAAACAGTCCTAAATTCCTTTCGATCGCTGGGGTGGATAAACAGATGGGCATTTAGACAGGTGGGGGTGTACATGACAGGTGTCCAGTAGGGAGGGAGGGGGTGGAATTTTTATGACCCTCATCAATCAAATTTTTGACAAATATTTGTATCCCATCTTATTTATTTAGGGCTTTTCTGAGACACATGACCACATGTGGCAGGGGTGTCCATATGCCCTCATTCACTATTCCCTACATTAGGCACCACTATAGTCCACTTGAAGGAGCGAATGAAAACGAGTGAGCAAATTCAGACTCGAGTGCATTAGAAGGTCTGCCGCTTTGAACACATGAACAAGTGGTTTGGAAAGTGGATGGATGGAAGATTCAGATGCAGGCGCCAACTTCCGCCAAGACACGGGAGTTCATTCGGCATGACGCTCACAGTGCATTATGGGTATTCTCCAGCTGTTGAGTGTACATGGGCTGCACACTCATAACTGCAATTTTGAGATTGAATGAATGCACTCCATAACATCCACTATGGATTTGAGCAATACCACCCACAGATAGCTGGCTGTCCCCTCAAATAGTGCCCTATTTAGGGGTAATTTCAGCACAGCCCTTGATTATTTCGGTTCAGGTGTGTTTAATTAGGTTCTGAGCTAAACTCTGCAGGACAGCCCTGATATTATGAGTTATTCCAAGTCATTCATCTTGCTGAATCAAAGCAGGAGACAACTGAAGCAGGTCAAAGATCAACAGAAACTTTATTATGTGCAATATTAAAGGCGTGGATTGTAACTATTTTATTTTGACACTATGTATTTGATGTATATTCTCCAAAAATATACCTTTTGAAAAGCGAAAACGTGAAGTGTGTCTTGACAGCAATATCACACAGTTGTGTTTCTCAAACACAAAACGAGAAACGTTTTTTTTTTTTTAAGTCGTCTTTCATGCATTTTTGATTTTGCAAATGTTTACTGAGCAAGGTTTTCATGGTGATTACTCCAGAATAAACAACATCGATAAGTGCATTACAGAAATGTGCTGAAGGACAACGGTTTTTGCTGCTGCTCAAGTTTGTGGTGTGAAACAGGCGTAAGAATACAGTATGAGGAAACTGCAGTATAAAAACACCAGCCAGTTGATTCCTGTCAAGAGTGTTTTATTGTGAACGAGCTTTAGTGCGTCTTCCTGCCCGAGCCTTTAATGTTGAGCTCATTATAATGGGTTTGATGTCCTTTGTCGTTTCTGTGAACACACAATAGTAACAAAACTGAGACATTATCATATTAAACAGGACAGAACTCATTTCAGTGCAACCCTATGTTCTCTTTAAAGGTGACCTTTGACGTTATAGTGTGGTGTAATATGGCGGTGCATCATGCATCAGCTGGTTTGCTCAGTTATTTAAAGAGCATTAACTACATGCAAGCCAAGCATTAGGATGACTCTGGATGAACCACAAATATTCTGTCTATCTGTGTCAGAATGGCAGTTATTTGATATTAGTAAGTTATCTAGAGGCCATGCATTACTGCTACTGTCTTGTCAAGATTCTTAACAGACTGTCAAGAAGAAAACAAGACTGCAAGTAAAGCAGCATGGCCTCTGTGGGCTTCCGTATGTTTGAAGATCAGTCAGTAGTTAAGGATGCAGATGAATCATGATTTCTCGTGGCGTTCGTTCCAAACTGACAATCTAATGAGACCCATGCAAAATATTTCATTCAAAAAAAAATATCTTTTCCTAATTAGGAAGTTTGTTTGGAAGGAAGGTTTTTTTAAAATGTATATTTACATTAAATCTACATATTTTTTTAAATAATTTTTAATATATATATATATATATATATATACTATTTTTTTATATGTCAATATATTTAATTTCAAGCTTCATATATCAAAGTATATTTCAAAATGTATTTCAGGAGCAAGAAAATACATTTACAATCTAATAGTTGCATACTTTTAGGCTTTATTATTATTATTATTATTTTATTTAAATGAGTTATGTTCACACGTTATAGACAATAAACTATTTTTTCTTCAAATTTTCTTTGAAACATTCACAAAAAATATATTAGTACAAAATATATTTGTTAAAATTAGTGCTGTCAAACGATTAATCGCATCCAAAATAAAAGTTTTTGTTTACATACTGTATGTGTGTACTGTGTATATTTATTATGCATATATAAACACACACATACAGTATATATATTGAAAATATTGACATGTTAATATATAAATATATTTAATATATAAACGTAACATTTTTTTAAAATATATGCACGCATGGGTGTGTATTTATATATACATAATAAATGTACACAGTACACACATATATATTATGCAAACAAAAACTTTCATTTTGAATGTGATTAATTGTTTGACAGCACTAATTAAAATATTTTAAAACATATTTAAGCAAATACAGTTTTTGCCTTTTATGTTTTGAAATATATTTAATAATCGTCAAAAACTCAAGTTTTTCACTATATTTTTTAGTGCCTTGCTGTTATGAGTTCTTTGACAAGTTAAGAAATCCTGTATCCAAAGAGCGCCGATTTATGGGCTTTGTACCCCAGTAGCATGTTTTGCGTATTTGTGATATATTTAGTGATTGTTTGCCGCTTGGCTGACCTGTGAGTGTCTCGTGGTGCTGTGATGGCCGCTCGGTGAACCGCTCGCTGTCTCGGTGCTTCCAGACGGGACATGGGCGCAGAAGCCTGGAACCGGGACACTTCTCTCTGCCATTCCTCATCGAAGGACTGGGCCTCCGCTGCGAAGACAAAACACAGCGTCACAAACAGCCTCGCTGTGAAACGACTTGAGTAGATGGTTGTTAGGAGGCTGCTTACTGTCCCAAATCAAACAGTCCAACTCAGGTCTTTATAAGCTTTTGTGCTATAGATTGGACTAATTTCCAGTCTGGGAAATTAGCTTTTTTTGGCCCACAGCGGCCTCGTTAATGTATGTAATTAGGACATGTTTGTCAATTGTCTGCAAGGTGAAAATCAGGGCCCGTATTCACAAAACATTTTATCGTACCACTAAGAGGTAAGTTGCTTTGGGTAAAAGCGTCTGCTAAATGACTAAATGTAAGAGTTCTTCTAAATAGCAGTAAAAGTTTTTAGCTAAGAGTTTTCGCTTAAGCTGCTGAGACAAACTTTACTAAGGAATAGAGAGAAGTCTGAAAGAGGAATGTCAGATACACCTAGGATGCCTTGAGGGTGAGTAAAACACAGGCTAATTTTCATTTTTGGGTGAACTATCCCTTTAAGCTCAGAGTAAGGGGGCGGGGCTGAGCTCGTTGCTATGGATGATGTCAGCAAGCTTATTAACTATGCACACAGTGATTGGCCGATAGGGGTCTCTGTCAGAGATTTATTCGTGGAAATATTGTAGGGCGCGATATTATGTAGCCATATTCAAATAAAGATTTAAAAATAAAAATGTTAATTGCCACATTCAAATAAAGATTTTAAAATGCAGGCTAAGAGTCACTAATAAAATAAGTAAATTGTCAGCCTCTTACATTCACGTAAACAATTAGTGAATATGCATATAAACAGCCTTTTAATTAACAAAGTAGAATAATCATGGCTGATAGTAAGATGTGCAAACGTAAAAGAAAACCAAACTGGACGCAAGAACAGCTGTTGCTTTTTGCACAGCTGATTAATGAAAACAAGAATATAATCAAAGGAGATAACCTCCAAAACCAAAGGCGATACCTTTTTAAAAGCTCATTATCGTCAAATATTTCTAAAATGATATGTTCCGAGGCAGATTGCTGGCAACAGCCATTTTAGGATAGTTTGTGGTTTGATCTTAGTGACTTAGGATTGTCAGCCTCTTACATTCACGTAAACAATTAGTGAATATGCATATAAACAGCCTTTTAATTAACAAAGTAGAATAATCATGGCTGATAGTAAGATGTGCAAACGTAAAAGAAAACCAAACTGGACGCAAGAACAGCTGTTGCTTTTTGCACAGCTGATTAATGAAAACAAGAATATAATCAAAGGAGATAACCTCCAAAACCAAAGGCGATACCTTTTTAAAAGCTCATTATCGTGAAATGTTCCTAAAATGTTTACGTTCCAAGGCAGATTCCCAGCAAAAGCTATTTTAAGATATGATTTGTGACTTAGGACTTCTTAGGTCTTCACTGCTCCTAACTGTTCACAGATTTAGGAGCTAGTTTTAGTGCTAAAACACTTTGTGAAATACTCTTAGAGCAAACATTTAGGACTGACAGCTATTATTTTTCAGAATTTCTCCTAAATTGGCGAGTTATGAGCTACTTTTAGCCTTAAGATGTTTTGTGAATACGGGCCCTGATTGCTTAGAAACGTCATATTTTGTTTTAATAGTTTACGGCTGTTAGAATTTGTTCAAAACTGATATGCAAATTGCTAAGTAATAAAAATAGCGATGACTGACTAAGCAAACGCCGTTAATGCATGAAAAGAAAAAGCATGCATTGAATGTTCACGTGACCAGAGAAACTGTCTCTTTAAATGCCTCCTCACTTTCATCCATGTTCTGGAAGTCCTGGTTGAGCTCCTTCTCTCCAGTTTTCCTGTTCTCTTTCCTCTCGATGACGTGGCCTCTGTCCTGGATGTGATGGGCGATGGACATCTTCTGCAGTCCGCTCTCAGAGTCCTTCAGACTCCTCCTGGTCTCCTTTATCTGAACACAGCACAAACCAGCAATTATGACACTGATCCGCAGGAGGTGCTGCGCGGTGTGAGTGTGTGAGAGCAGGACTCACTCCTCCAGGAGCAAAGCGCGTCTGAGACGAGGCCTGGAAGACTTTGGCCGGCTCATGTCCCGCTTTAGAGAACGTCATGACAGAGGAAGAGGAAAACGAGTGGCTGTTGGGGTCTGAAGGCATGTTCTCCTGCAAGAAACAGACTTGAAATGCTTCTCTCTCTAATTCACTCGAGTACTCAGGAGTTTCACAGTGTTGCCAACTAATCTTCAGAGAAAGTTGCTAAAGGAAAGTTGTGATGTCATTGCGTAATCACAACATCAAATCTCAGCAAAAACTATATTTTATATACGTTAATTTAGATTTGTTTGAAAAATGATATGCATAATATAATATTAAAATATGAATAACTGTATTTCAAATACATTGAATTATTGAACACTTACACATTTTTTGAATGATTACAATTTAAGTATTTTAGTAAACTAGTAAAACACATTCTCAACAATTATGCTTTTAAGCAGTGTATTAGTAGTTAGTTAGTATGCTACACTCTAAGAAGAGTCTGTAAACATAGGGGACAGTCTTCTCTGTTAAGTTAATATGAAAGAATTTTCCGTATTGGTTTTTTACCTGCATGTTAAATTATGCATTGTGTTTTCGGGTTACAGGGTTACAGTGGATAATGTCTTGGAATATTACTAGCATCTTTTCAATTTTTCTTACAGTGCACTAACTGATCAACAATCGCAGTTACAAGCTACTAACAATGTGCATCATAAATGAACAATTATTCAATTATTATTATTAAATTGAACAATTGCAAACAGCAGCTAAATTAATTCATGTGATGTGTGTAATGCTAGGCATCTGTGGTTTCCTCTTTTTGTGTAATTTAGATGGAAAATGTGTGCCTTTTTATTGTCTGAGTCACTTATCAAAAGTTGCTAAAAGTTGCCAAATAAATTTTAAAAATTGCTAAATTTGTTGCTAGGTGCTTTTGGAAGAAAACGTTACTAGGGTAGTCTGAAAAGCTGCTAAACATAGCAACAAAATTGCTAAGTTGGCAACACTGGTTTCACAACAAAGTTTATTTGTGATAAGTGCAACTTAATTGAAGATAAGAAATCTTTTAGCAATCAGAATCACTGAATTGCTTACAACTGCCATAAATATATAGTTCAGTCATGAAACTCTAGATGGCGCAGGCTGACGGGGTGTTAACGTAACTGATGATATTCAGAGAGTTAAGCGACTTGGCACAAGCTGATTGGTTCATGCTGCGTATGCAGCCAATGAGCTTACTGCCTTGCATTTATAGCTGGCTAGCATTCACTAGAGATTCCTGCAGCGCGCTTTCATAGTTCTCTGAAACCCTCCACCTTCCCCAGCTCCACCTGTATAGATCTGCTACGGGGTTATTTTATATGCTATTTGTGCAGCAGCAGCATGTCTTAAATACTCATGTCACCATATCACCGTATGCATTGGCAGTAGCAAGTTCCTGTACTTGCTTGCAGCAGCAATAATCTACAACTACAGCAATAACCAACAGCAGCAGCAATTCAGCAGCAGCGTAGCAGATCTGTTCCGCCAAGACCAAATACATTAACATTGTCATATCCATCACCATGCTGAAATGTTCCGAGAGTTGTCATGATTGAACTACTGATAACTATGAAAACAGCTCATTATAAAAACCCATTTGAAAAGTCCTTGCATGCAGTCAGTTTAATCATTCTAATCGGTGGAAGATGAAGCATATAAACTGATTGACACTATTAAAGAGGTCAGACTTACAACATTTCGATGCATGGCCTCCATCCTGTTCCTCATGCTGTCCATCATAGCCAAAGGATTGCTAAAGAAATCCAGCTCCTGTTGACATTTGTCACACACATTTAGTACCTTCACATGCAAGTGCATGAAGCATCCGGCAATTCAGAGCACTTTTACAGCATCTAGAGCCTGAGATGTGTGGGAGAAACTAAACTGTTGAACATGTTAAGCAGTCCTGTAGTGTGACGAATTACACATCAATGTGTTTCCAAACTTTTTACACATGGAGTTTGTATAGCCTAATTAATTAACAAAATAAACTACAAATTATAATAATAATTGAAAGACTACATGGAGCATTTGTTCATTTAAAAATGCATTTGGCACACCAGGACTATTGAAGTGAACTGCAAAAAAGGTATTTAAAAAATGTTTAAAGTAAAGCAGAAATTGTTACCTGTTACCATTGTTAAAATTTATTTTCTTATACATTCAAATAAACTATAACATAATAGCTTCATGGTAGAAGAAGCTTTTCTTTCTTATGAATGTGATTTTGTTCTCAATGTACACTTGATAGTGTTAAAAACTGTTCTTTAAAAAATAAAATAATATTACTGATATAAAAGGCCACTTTCACGACTGTTTATTAACTTTATAAGTAAATTTACAAGTATATGACAGAGACACGTTTCAAACAAAATGACATTAAAATATAGCATTTATATAAGTTACCATAAATGCTGGTCAGTGCATTAAGCAGTACTTTAACCATATTTCAAAGACAAAATACTATATAATTTCTAGGTGTGTCAAAAAGCACTCTTAAGTTCCATTTGCATTTAACAAAAATGCATTTTCATTTAAGTGCATGCAATTAAGCATCCAAAAACATCACATTTAGTTCACAATTTCAAAGTATATTATTTTATATTCTAGTACATTATTTCCGTAATAAGTACTCTTTTGAAAAGTAGAAAAATATTTACACAAAGGATATCTATGTTGTCAGCAACTTATAAATCATAGTAGTATCGTAGTTATAAATCATAGTAGTATATTCGTACAATATTGGCCAGAATGATACTACTATGATTTATAATTACAAAACTGTTTAAATGATCATTATGATTGGTTGACTGATTGATTGATTATTTATTTTTGCATTATAGTAATAAGAATACAATTTGCTAACGTTTTGAATTTTAGGGGAGGGTAGTTATTAACTGTCAAAAGAGAAAAATGTCACAAAATATAACTGCAAAATATAAACAGATTTTTGGGATTTTTTTTTTTTTTGACAGTTTTCATGAGATTCATCTGTGGCATCTCTATGGAAAAAATGGGAATACAATGGTAAAATGCATGAAAATGACATGGAGTTAAAGCCAACAAGTTCAAAGTCTTTATCTAAACATAGAAGAAACACACTTATAAGTGTGAAAACACAACTAAAAATTATGAGAACTGAAAAGCTAACTGAAAACACAGGGCTACATACAGTACACAAGGGCCAACACAGGGAACTAAATAGTGAACAGGTGCAACTAATTACAAACCATGGAGACAAACAAGCAGAAATCAGCACTGAACTACAAAGAAGCACAGAAACACAGGAACAAAATGAAAACTAAACACAACATATTCCTGCCAAAAACCTTTGTCTGTTTGAATGTTTCAGTAACTCTTTGTGCTGCGCGCTCTGAATGACTCCCAAAATTGGTAGCTGTCACCTCTGGTTATGGCGTCTAATAATGGAGAAGCAGCTCGAGTTTCTCTGAAGGTTTAGGACAGCACTGCCTCAGCAGTCGAGCCGTTTAAAACCATCATCACTCCTCAAGCTAATAAAGCCCCTGGAGAGCGCGGCTCGGCTGTCTGCTCGCCGTGTATTTCGGGTCAGACGGGTCATGTACGCTATTTTGGGTGGGCTGTGTTTAGAAGACACAGGCCTGAGGTCACGACCCATTTATGCTGCGTGCTATCACAGAAGAATGATTCGACAGACCCACGGGGGAAAATGAGGCACACAGGAGAGCTCTCAGAAGAGAACTCAGTTCTGGGAATGATCACGACGCGGCCTTAACACTGAAAACACTTCTTAGGTTACTCTGTTACTAAACGCCCATGTGACTCACAAGCTGCTGCACAACATTGCCAAATGTGTAATAGTATTTTATATGATCAAATGATGATGACCATGTGAAGTAAGCAACCAAAAGGGAAATGTCATAGTCCAACAATTGTTCACTTTTCACAAACTATTCTAGCTAACAGTGAATTAGTTTAGTTAACTGCAAAAACTACTCAAGCACACTATCCTGTCTGAGAATGTGTTACTCGACAGCGGTGATTTGTTCTGCCCATGGGCGACATTTGACTCTTGAGTCGGGGGGGGGGGGGTTCAGTTTTCCGTGTCACGTTTTTTTGGCTTTTTCCCGTGTGACTAGAAATGTGTGCGTTTTGAATTGTTGTTGCTAAAGGTGAGACCCGTGAGGGAAAAAAACACAATCAGTTGTGGGACTAGTCTGTCATACATTGCATACCATTCATTTTTTAACTTTCTACCGTCCGTTACTGGAAATGAAATGGTTGATATGTCCCAATCTCAATAAAGTTTATACGCTTTCAGTCCGTGAACTGGATCTCGCTCAGGACGCACACTGTCTGTGGAAGTTTGGCCAGGACCGGTTCCAGAAGAAATCACTGAGGCATTTTTGTCCTGTCCATTGCTTTGGTTATCACTGTGTCAATCTCTGATATTTCTAGAATGAATCCAGCATAAATATGCTGATGTAATTCTTGAAACGTTGCAGCATGTATGTGTCCGAAAAACGCAAGTTTCATACAAATTCGGAATGGATTATAGCCTAGAAAGCGCACTCCCATTATTATCACTAAAAGCATCACTCATCTCACTTCATTGCGATCTCACAAAGTTCCGTTATAATCAATGAAGCTCTCTAAACTACACAATGAATCTCTTATTTAGGCTACATCACATCTGCACTTATGAGATGATTCACAAGCGTGCAAAACTCCAAGGCTTTCAACGGTGAGTGAATTCTGAACACTCTAACATTTCTGATTGGCCACTACGGTGAAGAGATCAACAGATATGTCTGTGATTGGCTACATTGTTCAATGCCGCGAAAACACATTGGATAGTTCGCCAGATCTTTAACTGCTTTTGCTTTCATTCCGTACAACCGGGCCTGGGCTTGGCTAACTGCTCCAATTGCAGCGGGACTGACATCGGGGATTCCATGACTAAAAAATGGTCTAAAATTTTAGAAAAAGTTGTGTCCGCTCAATTGCGCTCCTTCCTGCAAAAAAAAAGATCTCTATGAAGAATTTCAGTCAGGTTTCAGGCCCCACCATAGCACAGAAACTGCACTTGTTAAAATTACAAATTACTTGCTTCTTGCGTCAGACCAAGGCTGTATCTCATTGCTAGTTTTACTTGATCTTAGTGCTGCGTTCGACACTATAGATCATGACATACTTCCGGATGCGTTTGTCGACAGTGACATTGTCGACACAATTCTTAATGTAGCAGAATACTGTTGATGTGTACTCTTCCAAATCCTGATTATCAAAGACATCCCAATAGGTTCTTTCGAAGCAGTCTTGGAGCTGAGAAGAGGCTCCTTCTGGCCATTTTTTCACAATCTTGGTAGTGGTGGGAGTTTTCCTTCTTAAAGGGGTGTATGCTGGGATTAAAAACACCGAAAGGTGGTCTGACTGTCCTAAATGAGGCAGTGGAATTGACCTGTAGCCTTTCTTGACATTTGAGTACACGTTGTCCAAGATGTAAACTTGACTTGACTAACTATATGTTTTTCCATGAATTGCCCCCCCCCAATATCGCCCATGGTTCTGCCAACAGCCATAATCCTGAAATATTCAGACAATCTTCCAGTGGTTTCTGACTGTCTCAAGCGTACTGAACACACAAACAGTGAGAAAATCTGCTAAAATCACAAGCTCCAATCTGATTATTTAGTCTCTCTGGCAGTTTCGAGTATGCAAACACTTGCAGTTTGCCTGTCAGTCTGTTCCAGTGTGGTATTTGGGTTGGGTGAGCACCAGTCTCGCATTTGGCAGGACAGTCCTGAAACTGAAAGCCACAGCCTGAATTTGGCTTACAATCATCCGACCTAAATGTTTCTTCTTCCAATGTATTTGTGTTTTTACAATTTATATAGCTAGGTGTTGATTTATATCTGATATTCTTAGGAAGATGCAGATATAATAGTGTTTATGTTGTTAAAAAATAAGATACATAAATTTGAAAGCATACATCTCTTGATGGTGCTGTATCATTTTGTTATGCAACAAACAAAATCCCCCCCCCCCCGCAAAAAAAAGAGCATAGTCTTCACTGTATAAATAAATACAGACGAATCCTTACAATTAAAGTTAGTAAAGTTATTCAGTCAAGAGCAGTGAGCAATTTTCTCTCTTTTGTTTTTTTGATTAACAATAAGGACACAGACAGAAGCATTAGGCTGCTGTCACTTTAAAGGGGTCATATGATGCTGCTAAAAAGAACATTAGGGGCGGCTGAGTGAGCAGCCGGCGGATCCGACGAAGGAGCGGCAAGCACATGTGATGACCCCGGGCTTCGTCCACGGTGAAAGCCGATCCGGCGATCCACAGCACTAAGTTGATGTATTCCCTCAGCGACCAGCACGGATCAGCTCTAGGCATGACGAAGCGGATATCGTCCTCTTTTGGAAGACCAAACAAAGTAGTTTCGCTTTCACAACGAAGCACACAGCGTCTTCACGCCATGGCGGCGGCGGCAACAATACTACAGCGAGAATAAAAGTTACAGCTTCTTTCTTTGTGTGAACATTTGGGCGGCGTTATGCCCAAATCGTGACATAGATATGTGGGGGCATGTTAGAACGAGCCGTTTTAGGTAGGTGTGGCTGACTCTTAACTTTTATAAAGAATATCTCTTTGGATTTGAGACTTTAGTCTTTGCAACTTTACAGATCTTCTTTATGCACCAAGAGCTTGTAACACTCCAAAGAGAAAGGAAAAATTGAAATCGCATCATATGACCCCTTTAAGACAAAATGCACAGATCCAGT